GAGCGAAAAAATATTAGGAGACTGGGGGGAGGGGGGATGCGAAAATCCTTGCATCGGATTTGCAGCTGTGCACATTTGCATAATTGCAATAATTGCAGCGACCGAGTCAATCGGGAGAGAGAAATCAGCTTTTTTGCTCGGGTGCGATCGGCTACAGCTGCGAAATTTATTTGTAAACCAACAGGTTGATAACAGCTGAAATTATGGAAATGGCGAATTTACAGGAAGCAAAGCAAATACAGGTTAAAAAACCCGCACCCAACGAGCCGGGCTCGCCTCGCGCTATGCGATAGGTCGATCGGTCCGCCGTTTAAACCTATGGAGACGGATCGATTATCAGGGTATGCTTTAATAATCGATTCTTACCATAGCTCCAAAGCAGAAAAAATCGATTGCCGATGAATTATGTTTGGCCACTGTCAAGAGAATTAATTTGCACCCGACATGTGGTTAGGTTCTGTACATTCGGGTCCGTTTTTCAAGATGGTTTTTTGTTCCCTTTTTGGATAGGAAAAATTTCACAAAATTTATTGTTGGATTACTGGCAGTGACAAGAAAAATTGCCTGAGAATATTAGCAGATTTGCAAAATGCTAGAGGAAGAGTTCATTGGTAGCAGCGTTTGAAAACTTCTGCGGTAGGAGGAAACATGTTGAGGACTTAAGGCGAATGACTTATTTTAAAAAATTTCCAACACTATTCTGCCATGCTAAGGAAAAACGCCGTATGAACCTTCAGGTTCAGGCCTAATTTCCTCTGATTAAACACGAATTTCTTGGTAAACTTATGATTATTTGTCTTCCAATTTTTCAGATAACTTTGTTCGCAATGTCACCCTATGATACCGAAAATCAATCTCGAAAAAACCCTTGAAATCTTGGTGAAATATTTTTTTATTTCTCTGTGTTCGAATCTATTCTCGAGAATGTTCTAACTCCACAAAAGACTGACGATTATTCAAGGTATTTATCAATCTAAATGAGCTAGATCATGCAATTTGTGTTATTGGAAAAAGAAGAGTGCATTATGCAGGTACTGGCCACAACATTATTGTATTCGTAACGTACCTAAAAATGTTCGTCGGAGAATGGTCTAAATTGAACTTAAGATTGATGTTTTGAAAGTTCAAGCACGGTGATTCTAATTGAACTTATTTTATAGTCTAGCAACTTCATAGTCATGTAAAATTCGTCATGAAAAACGCATGAACTCTAAAATCTATGAATTTATGAAATGACATAACTTAAATCGGCTCGGGCGATATCCGCGCAAGTGAATTTTCCCGAAAGATAGAACCGGAGAAAAAAACTGTATAGAGGCGGATCCGACACAAGATTAAACAATTTCTAAGAGATAATTATTGCAGAGGATTTACAAAATAATTCCTTTCGTTGAGTTTCTAGCGCCTTTCCGCTAAAACTGAGAAGTTCTCGGTGAAAACGGAGTAATTTGGGAACTTAAAATAAGTAAAGACATTCTCGGTCCGAAATCTCTAAGTAATAAAGCTGTTTAATTCATTAAGAGAGTAATAAAAAATGTTAAGTCCTTTGAATATCATCCTATAAAAATAAAAATGACGAAACCTCTCAGATGAACGACTTCCAAAGTCATGTTCACGAAAGACGAAATATTTGCTGTTTTTGTATACGATTTGTGAATGACTGACTTTAAAAACGCAGATTTTTAAGCTTGCGGTTTATTGGAATAGTTTAAAGCGCGGAGCTCAAATTTTGGAAGCGTGCGTTAGTTTGAAATAATACGACGGAAAATTTTCAAACGAGGTCTTCAAATGCGTCAAAATTTCATAGAATTCTGGAAGCTCCGGGTATTTTTAACCGGGTCGAATGAAAGTAACCCGTGTGGAAGCTAGTTCTCTTTCAATAGGCACAGATTTTTTTTTGTTCCGATTCATTTTTTTCATTTTTGTGTTCCGATTTTGCTTTTTGTTCCTTCTCGAGTTTTTACACGATCAGACGTGTCAAATCCTGTCTAAACCCAAAAATTCCTGGAAGAAGTGACAAAACTAATTCAATTATTACTTGAGGCTGATCTACTGAAGTTAAACATGGGCTGTGTAGTGATAGTCACGAGCTTAACTTTTTGGGGGAAGTGCGTCAAGTCTTGTTCAAAGAAACATTTTTTTTTTCCGTTTTTTTTTTTCCCCATGAAGAAAGAAGAGGAACATGCCTGCGAGGCAGTGGAGAGGCGTGAATGATCGATTATCGATATTTCCCCATCTGAAGCTATGGTAAAGAATCGATTATCAGGGTGTTCATTGCGAACCCCCAGTTTATCGATCATTTTTCATAGGTTTACAGATGGCAGATCAATCGAGGTGTCATCGATATATTTAAGTCCAATGACTTAAAGTTGGCTCACAAGTAAAAAAATCCTTTCATCAGGCACACTAAAATCAGAGATGAAATATAATTGTATTACTTTTCTTGCATCTTTGCTTAGGCAGTTACAAATCGTCCTATGACTCATTCTCAACGTCAAACAATTTTTTTTTTCTTTTTTTTTTTAAACGCAATCGCCAATTTCCCACTTTGTGACTTTACAACTTTGTAACTATGATGTAGTGCATCGTTGTCTCGACTGATATAAAAATTTGCTCGATAGGTGAGAAAAAAAATTGAAACAGTCCAGAATGTTTCCCCCAAGAATTCTGTCGACACCCTGGAATAAACCACAGAAACGAATGTGGGTTTCCCGGCTTAGATGCGTCAGATATTATTATAAAGGCAGACTATTTCATAAAAACTGTAAAAACTCGGTGAGCTAATGATTTTCCGCGGCGAGGAAGAGATGTATCTACATATGACTGTCTTTTTTACGACAAAATTTCGAAGAGGCCGGTAGTGAAATCCGGGGAAGTTTTCCTCTTTTTTGCGGTATTCGACGATTAATTCTATTCAAAAAATTCTATTCCGTGATACAATACATCAGTTGTGTTTGTCACAAAATGATACCTCGATGTCAGTACTAGAATGTACAAGTACTAGAAATGGACGTCACGAACAATAAGCATGCAAGATCGACTCATGAGGGAACTTCTAAAGGGCAACGCAAAGAGTAACTTAGTGGGTATGATTTTTTTCCCTCTCCACCTGCCTTGGTCTGATGATACTTTTTGCATAATGACGTTCAAAGGATGTAGAACTTCTATAAGCCTCAAGTTTCCACGTGTATTTTTTTATTTATTTATAGGAGCTTTTTCAAAATAGCTTTTGACGAGTTTATCATTGGCCATAGAATTTTTGAGAAAAATATTTCGACCTCTCCCCAGACATTTTAATGATCATTATCTCAACTTCCAACTTCTTTGTCACAACTCACAATTTTAAATTTTGACGATTTCGTTGTGATCAGTATTTTCATCACCTCATAAGGCGCGAAACAGTGTATAGTCATAAATTTATGACACTGGTGTAAGATTTTCCGACAATAATTCTAAGTCTGAGATTGAAACAAGGCAAAATTTGACGGATTGGTACGGAGTGAGTCTAACTTCAGGGGAAGTTGCCTAATTTCCTCTCATATTTTTTTTTCTTTTGAAACTGGAGGTTAATGAACACTATTTTGGAAGGCACGGATTCGATCGACGTGAAACGATCGGGAACCAAAAACGTGAATCGATCCACGTGAACCGATCGACACCGATTCGATCGACAAAATGTTAAAAAACGGTCGGCATGAATTGACCGAAAAATAAAATTATGAATCGACCGACGTGAATCGGTCGACAACGATTCAATCGACAAACCCTTGAATCGTTCGACAAACCCGTAAAGTGCGTCTTTTTCGAATTCAGCCAATTTGTCTTTTTTTTCAAAATTCCTAACCCTGATACAGATAGATGCCGTCTACGAAGAAACTACACGGGGGGTAAACAAACACGGAGATGCCAAAAAATGTCTCCTAAAATACTACCTATTTACACTTACCGTCTTCAGCAAGAAAAAAAGGGGCCCATTACGCAGAGAAGCACACTTCAGCTATTGTTCTCCCAAAAAATATATTTTGTAAACAATACAAAAAACGGAAAGTATTCGATGTGCGCAATATTGCGATCGAAAAGTCAAATTGAAACGTTGATTTTCGCGTTTGGTTACTTTCAGCTTTTCCGAGAGAGATTTTTTGAGAATCAACAGGTGAAGTGTACTATTTCGTGTCATAAATCCGTCTTTCGCCAAAAGTTCGAAGCTAAATCGGTGTTTCGGAGAAATTCGCTCGAATTCTCTCGGTTTTTGCGTACTCCCACAATAGATCCACCTTGCATCATGCGTCATTTCGATATTTTCCTGGATGACTCCCGGTACATCCCAAGTTTTCCTGGGTCTAGAAAAATGAGTAGAGAATTCGCACGAGGTAATGTGATTCCTTCATCAGAAAGTGCTTAATGAGCTGAGTAGATATGTAATTTTATTCCCATTTTTCTCTTATACAGAAAATTATAAAAAAACCCGATTAAAAAGGAGAAAATGTACGGCCTTGAGACATCATTCTGCGCCATTTCTCATTTAAACACATCGAGGGTTAAGAAACAATACCGCCTAACTGACGATTTCGGCAGAAATGAGTTGGCGACTTTGCCGCAACATGTTGTTTTTAGGTCTCCCCCAATTCCCCCTACTTAATCAAATTGCACGTAGATGCGTTTTTTATTAAGTGCAATTGGACTGCATTTTGCAAAAAAGAACCACTAGCATTGCAATGATGCTAAGATTGTGCAACTTCATCCTTTGCAATAAAATTGCGGACATTGTGAAAAACTATGAAATTTAGATGGTAATTTTTGTATTAAATTTACAGTTTTTAGCGAGTAAAATAGAAACTATTAAGGGATAATCGGGTTTTTCCTCCAAGACAAAAGAAGTTGCACAATCTTAGCAACATTCCAATGCTAGTGGTTCCTTTTTGCAAAATGCAATCCAATTGACACTCCTACTACTACCACCACCACCACGAAAACCCGGAAAAACAACAAGAAAAACTCACCCTTTCCTCCTCGCGTATCATCTCGGCAATGCCGGGCTTAATATCCAAATCATCGATGACGTCGCGCTGACCCGGAGTTCCCTGTTGCTGCGACTGTTGCGGGGGGCCCTGGGCCGGGGGCTGTCTGTCCACTGCGCCGGGTGCCATACCCGGATGTCCCGGCGGCGCCTGTCCTGCACTCCCGCTCCCTTGGCCGGGGGACGGCGGGCACGCTCTCTTGTCCGCGTGGTTCTCCGGACTCCTTTCCACGGACCTCCTCCTCCTTTTCCGGGGCTGGGACCCGGGGGTGCCGGCTCGCACGTCCGTCGTCGAGGACTTCAACTCCGGTTCGTTGTTGATCTCGGCCAGACCGCGGATCTTCAGCGTCTCGGCCACGCGGAGCAAAGGCCCGATCTGTTCTTGCGCCACGTTGATCTCGCCTTTGTACATGAACTCGACGACGGATTTCAGATCCGAGTACGAGATGTCTTTGAGGATAACGATGGGGTGTTGACAAGGGTTGTCCGTGAAGAGGGCTTGGAAGTAGGGGCTGCAAGCCGAAAGGACGACCTTGTGCGCTTGTACGGACCGGCCATCGCAAGCCAGGGTGACGTCGACGAACCACCCGTTCTGCAAGAGTTGGTCGAAGACGTTGATCAGGTTGGTTTGGTGGTTGTTCCAGCGGAGGCAGAATCGTTGTTGCGGAGACTCGGCGCTGGTGGCGCCCTCCGCGGGGGTCTCCAGGGTTGTGGGGCCACCCCCTCCTCCGCCCCCCGGGCCGGGGTTGTTGGTTCCGTCGTTGGGGTGCATTACCATGGATCCTGTGGACATACAATCACGGGATGCTTAGGTTAGGTCACTAGAAAGGAGTCAGATGATTGAGAAATATGCGATTGCAGCGTGGAGCATGGAAGGAATTCGCATGTGGATTTATATGTGTGGGTACAACAGGTGGAAAATTGGTCGATTGAAGGGGGGAATCAAGTCCGATCGTGCGTTTTAAGACACTTCGTCGAGAGATTGTGTAATTAAAAACGAAAAGTTAAGCCGATAATTCGCGAAAATCGAATGAATGAAACGATAGAATTTAAAAATCGTGGAAAACAAGATAATTAATCGAGATGGACGTATATAAACGAAAGAACTAGGAGTCTATCGGAAAATTCGCAAAATCAGTCGATTAGAGACATAAATTGACCGTTGAAAAGTTGAAAAACAGATATTTAAAAAAACATGAACGAACGAAAGATCAGTCAGCTGAAAATATGAAACACTCAGTTCACTTGAAATCGTGTAACGACAGAACAGACGGTCCACGTGTTGATAGCTAAACGAACGTTTATAAAACTAACAAAAAAGTACGAAAATCCGCGCACTAAAGAATGATTCCGTAAGTTAATCCTCAGGTCATTCCGTAGCTATATTCTTCAAATTCAAATCCTCACCGGCAGTACACCCACTGAACAATCAGCCTTAACACAATTAAATCAGACGTTTGAAAAAAACTAACAGTCCGCAGGTTAAAAAATTTATTGTCGAGACAGACCAGCCAAAAACCCACCGAAATTCGCGCACTGGGAAACCGAAAGTTCAAGCCCGCAACAGAACCAGTCCGCCGCAGCAACAGATCACACTAAAACCCGACGCGCACAGAATCGATATTAAAGTTACTAAAGTTACGACCGCGAACGGAACGAAACTAAACTATAAAGATAAGCTCCGATCGAATTTTTAACGACGCAGGGTAATTACGCCGGGGTTTAATTATTCCCCGAGCTGCTCATCGCGCGGAACAAATAAAAAAAACACGCTTTCCGATACACGAACGCGTCACGTACCACGAAACCACGTTACCGAATTTTACGTTACAGTCCAGTCCAAAACGATACGGATGAACGTCAGTCTCAAATACGTTTATCAGAGATGGAAAACCGCTGAATATGAGAGAAACACGGTTAGACGTCACGGACGGAGAATCCACGGGTTCCGTAACAGTATTACGTCGGTACGTTACGATTTTCGTCACGGATCCGGCGACACGTGCGGCAGGTTTGCACGAGGAAAATTCGAGGTGAAAAAAAAGGCGGCACTGATAGCGGAACGTCGCGTGGTACAGGCACCGGAGCTGCTCAGCGCTCGACTGACGGGAGTTCCAGGCGGCGCGCGGTGGGAGGAGGGCGTTGGAGGGGAGGGTTTTTATTCTTCCCCCCTCCAGGGCCAGACGTTCAGTTCGTGTACATCATTTATTTATGTTCGGATCCACGCACACAAGCGCAGCGTACCGACTATGACTGCGCGGCGAGGCCCGGGCGTGAATAGGAACGAATGTACGTTTATTTTTGATTAAGTTAAAGTTAATGTGTATATAATACAAAATCCTGGCTCCGGCACGACGCTGGTGGGGCCGAGTGTTATCGTCCGCCGTTGCCACGATTTCAAAACAAATTATGGCCGCGCCGGTGAAAATTTCCTAGATTTTTCCAGGGCTTCACTCGTGCCGGAGAGTCGCGGAGTCTTTTTCTTGAGGGAAAGGAAAGGTACACTGGAAAAAAAAAACACATTGGATCGAGAGTGCAGACTCTTAAAAACATCGACAAGAAAAGATACTCTTGATTCAATCAGATTTTAGCTTAAATCAAGAACCAAGCCTCTTAATTTGTGCGGATTTCCTTTTGATTTAAGCTTAAATCTGATTGAATCAAGAGTCCTTTTTCTTATCAATGTTTTCAAGAGTCTGGACTCTAGATCCAATGTGTTTTTTTTTCCAGTGTATATCTGGACCACATTTTGCAATAAGGGACTGCTATTTCAGGCTCATTTGAGAAGCAACACATATGCAGGGTGTCTACTGAAACAGGCTGACCAAAAATCAGTAATTTTACAGTAATTTTTCAGTGCATTCCCAAGAAATTCAGTTCCTACAATTTTAGTACTTCATCAGTATCTCCAATTGACTAAATTCGAAAAATTTCAAAACTTTGAATTTCTCGCTCAAAAACGATATAAATGACAAAAAAAAAAATGAAAAGAATTCCGGACCTTCTCTTCGAATTTCCGCACTTTTTCAGTACTTCCGGACCGCCCTTAGAAAATCAGTACTATTTCCGGAAATTTCGTACTTGTAGACACCCTAAATGTCATTGATTTCCCTATGCAGAAAGATGCTTTTAAGGAAGAGACAGAGAAAGTGGTTCCTTAGAGCGAAGTGTAATCGAGTATTTGGTAACTCTCATCGAGGGAAGCTAAAAAAATGAAGGTTGTTCTTTCCCGAAGAAACACTTAAGGCATTTCTTCACATTGAGAGGAAAATGCTGGAGGGTGTTGGGAACACGGTTGAAAGTTTCCCGGATTTTCCAGGGTTTCCTTGATTCCAGAGAGTCGCGAAACTGTCGTCTTTTTCTTGAGGGCAAGTATAAAGGTTTATTATTAACTCTTATCGATGGAAGTCGAAAAAAATCAAGTTTTTTTCCCCGAAGGTAAACCTCGGGCATTTTGTCGCGCGCATTCAGAGGAAAATGGAGGGTGTCGAGAAAACGGTTGAGTTTCCCGGATTTTTCCAGGACTTCTTTGATTCCTGAGAGTCGCGGAATTTTCGTCTTTTTCCCTTGAGGGAAAGTGAAGGTATATTTTCAGTTGAATCTCTCAGTTCAAAATTGACCCATCTTGGAAAAATTAAATTTTTCAGGATGCGGTAAAAACTGCGTAAGAGCCAGAAAAGAAGGGTTACGACGCAAACGAATGAACATTGCAAAAAACCCGAGTTGGGTCGAATGGGAACTGAGAGATTCAATTCTTATGGAGGGAGGTCTAAAAAAAGCAGGAATTTTCTTGTTCAAAGGAAAAACTTGGGGCGGTTTTTTCACATTGACAGGAAAAATGAGCCTGTCGAGAGCACGAATGAAAATGTCCCGGATTTTTCCGCGGTTTTCCTGTTTTCTGAAAGTCGCAGTACTTTCATCATTTTTTGTGGAGAAAAGTGAAGGTAAACTTGGATTACATTTTGCAATTAGGAGCTAATAATATAAGCTCATCCATGGAAGCACCTATATCTGCAAATGAAACATCAAAATGAGAGAAGAGGCGGAAGAGGAGGAGGAAGAAGCAGAAACGGTTAAAAAACTGAGAAAAAGGAATAAGAAGAAATGAAGAATAGGAAGAGAAAGATAAAGAGGAAGAAGAGATGAAAAAAGAGGAAGAACATTGGTACAACATGAAAAAGAGACGAAGAAAAAGAAAAAGAGCACAAAAGAGACAGAGAAAAGAACATAAGGAGGAAGAAGAAATAAGAGAGGAGGAGGAGACGATGAAAGAGGGAGCGTTAAAATAAGAGAGTGAAGCAAGGGAAAAACAGGAATAAGAAGAGGTAAAGCAAGGAGCGAATGAGGGAAAGAATAAGGCACATGTGTCTGTGTAGTAAAATGGATGTCCACATACGTTGTCTCTAAAATCCGCCTATACATATTATTCCGGAATGCGAAATTGATTCCTATTTGCAAAATGTAGTCCATTTGTAATTTTTATTGAAGGAAGTTTTGAAAAAATCACGGTTTCTTGTTTTCTGTTGCGAAGGAAAATCTTGAGGCCGTTCGTCACACGAGATTTCCAACTAGGCAGTAGCGTTGACAAGGGGGGAGGGGGTCCGGGGGGGCTGCC